TCATTTAAACTCTCTGTACCTTGGTTTCCCTATTGGTAAAATAGGGTAAATAATATCTTCCCAACTTCATGTGTTGGTTATAAGAATTACATATAATAACTTACATGAATGAATTATTCAAATACAAATTAGTATGCTAGTTATTAATATAGGAAACACTTATAGTGCTTCCTAAATGTCGAGCACTGTTTTAAGTAATTTATTTATTCTGTCATCTCATATAATCTTCCCATAAACCTATGAGGTAGATACTCTTATCTCCATTTTGCAGATGACAAAACTGAGGCACAGAGAAGTTGAGTAACTTGCCCAAGGTCAATGCCTAGGAAGTAGGACAGACAGGCTTCAAATTTAGTCATTCTGGCTTTAACAGCTGGGCCCATCACCATACATTCTGTTGCTTCTCTCTGAAACTACTAAGGTTTCACCATGCGCAGTGTGTTTCAGTGAGAAAAGAGAACATGGCCCTCAGATGTATAGAGCTGTGTCACCAGAGCAAGTCCAGCCAGCTGCCAAGAGACTCGCCGAGGTGTCAATTACTTCAGTGAATTCTCAGCCTTGTCCCCTTGGCCCAGCAAGCTGGAAAACCAATTCTGTTAGCACACTGAGACTAGCTCCATTTATCAGCTCCTTAACCAGGCTTAAAGAGACTGATGTATAAACCTAAAGACCAGTTTTTAAATTAACAGTGAGAAATACGAGTCTCACAGTAGAGAATACCTGGGCTGGCAAACAAATGTACTCTCTCTGTAGGTAAGTACTTGGGAAGCCAAGTAAAGGTTGCTTAGCGGGTATGGAATTCAGGGGACTAATTGGATAATCTTCAACAGTCACCCGCCACAGGACCCAAATACAGAAGTTTCTGCTATAAAATGATGTATGTATTCCTGAAAAAACCTCACTTTCTGCAAAATCATGCATGAAATAGTAACAGTGGTTACGGGCAGGGAGGGGAGAGGGGAGAATAGGCTTGAGACAAACAATTCAAAATCTATGCATCCTTTTAACACTAGCAAAACAATAATTGATACCGGGGGAGACAACTTGGATGGTACAGACAGGCAGCTTGCACTGGCTAGAGGCTGCCTCAGGGGATAGTAAAAATGCAAAAAAGCAACAGTGTAACTGCAGGTTCTCAGATGAAACACTGAGACCTGAGCTCCGAGCCAGCAGGGCTGCCTTGAAGTTGAGCACAGGAGGCAGTGGTAGAGAGCTCTGCCAGGCTGGTGTTGTGCCTCTCTGGGGAGGGAACCCTGGATACGGGCTGGAAAGGGTCCTGCCTCTACAGCAGCCAAGCCGAGGCTTTTTCTTTATAGGTTTAAATTCTATTCCCCCTATTCTGGCCTTTTTTAACTAGGAAAAATCATGAACCACACAACTCCCACATTTATACCAACATCATTCTCCTATTTACCAATCATATGTGAGCTAATTGGTGTTCTAGAAACATCTGTTGTAGCAGAACAGACAGTATTCAGTCCGTAGTGGGAGTTGGAGGACTGGGAAATGCCCTTTCTTAAGAAGAGTGCTTTGCGTAAATCACTGGGGGTGATTTTGCCCACCTTACCCCCACCCTATTCCAGAAGACATTTGGCAATGTCCGAAGACGTTTTGGTTGTCACACCTGGGGAAGGAGGTGCTATTGGCATCTAGAGGCCAGAAAATGCTACAAAGCAACAACAATGCGCAAGACAGCCTCCCAAAACAAACAATTGTCCTGTGGCGTCCACAGTGGACTGAGAAACTTGGGCTTAGGAGGATGCTGTGCTTTTGGCTCTTTGGGCTCCCTTTTCCAAACAAGCAAGTCCCCAGCTGTCGCAGTCATATTCTAGATGGGTGTAATTTGATGCTGCCTAATGTATAATCATGTTCATACTCCCTCCCTGAGTTTACATGCAGGTGACTTTGGAGACTCAGAAATCCCCAAACTCTGTCACTCATTTACAGACATTTTGGGTTACTTCATGGAGAGTTAATCACACCCATTCAATAAGAATTTTACTAACAGGAAGCTCCGAGAACAATCTTGGAGCTTTCTCAGTGATGTTTCCCACTCCCAACAACAAGATGTTTGTAATGTTTATATTACCATAGTAGCTCAATGCCTGGCTTCTCTACAATATAATTCAGTGGCCTGCTGCTTTAATTAAAAGAGACCAGGGATAAAATTCTGTTCCTACCACTTAATAGCTATGTGATTTTAGGCAACAGATTTAACCCATTGGAGATTTAGTTTCCTTTTTTTTTTTTTGGTAGAATAGGGCTAATGATGCCCAATTTACAGAATTGTTGGAAAGATAAAATACAGTGTGTAAAAGTGCACAGCCCCACTTGACATGTAACATATGCTCAATAAATATTAGTTCCTTTTCCCTTGTGATGATACCATACCCAAAGAGCCATTGTGAAGTTTGATTTTCTTGTGATTCGGCTTTTCTTTTTCTGAGTTGTTCTCTGTTTCGCAAATTCCAACTTCCAATGACTTCTGTAGGATCAAAATGAAAGTTATTAGAGAAAGGGATGAACTATGCCATTTATCAGTAAAAGGATCCTACAGCCAAGTGGCAGAATCCCTGTGCTAGGTTTTTCTCCTAGCTTTTTGAGGACAAGGACGGTATCTTACCCATTCTTATAATCCTTGTATGTCTAGAGGAGGCCTGGTGGCAGACGTTCAGTAAACATTTTTGAATGAGAAGGTCCATAGTATTTATTTACACATAAGTGTGCTACCAACCTATTAATTCCTTTAAAATATTTTTTACATGTTGTACAGATAATGGAAAAAGTCAGCCATGTTCTATAATCTTTAACATGTTAACCTGTTTTCATTTTATTCCTCATTTCCATAGAGTCCCTATATTACACAAAGTTGTAATATAGGGTACCACAATTTTATCTTTTTTTAACCTAACATTATATCAGAACTATTTTCCGTGAGACAGTTTTCATAATTATAATTTTAATGATGGTATGATACTTAATCTAGTTGATGTATTCTCATTTGCCCAGTCATTCTACCTGTATTGAGCATTTAGGTTGTTGCCAGTTACTTTTTCCTTTGTATATCAATTTATTATAAACATATTCATTGCATATAGCTTTTTTTCTTTTGAATTTTTTTCCTTAGGATCGTATTTTTTCATGTTCTTTGGAAAATTAAGGATATTATCAAAAAAGGTTCTACTGCCATTCAAATTTGAGAAAAGTTAATGGGTCTTTGATGTAGCACCTCTTAGAGCCTGTGCATGATGCAAATCTGCACTGGGACCTCCAAAAGATAGAGCATTCCCCGTGGACCACTGTACCTTTTGTCCTTATGACACGGGATCTTGCTGGTGAAAAGAATTATATCTTTATTTTTACCAATCTCTAATTAAAATTACCATTTCCTTCAATTATGAATGTAGGTATCAAACCATAGTAGTTTAAGCAGTGTGTGACTTTGTCACCAAAAAAAAATCACGGATTTTTTTTTATCGATTACAGTCATTGCAGATACCTTAAAGTGTCATTTCTTGGTTATGATTTATTTGATTTGATACAATGATTATTAGACCCAGCACTGGGTCTTGTTGTTTAACACATCTACAAATAAGCACATATATTACTATATCACTATTTTTAAGGTTGATAATTGTATCTGTTTACTTTGTAGTCCTATGTATTTAATTTTATATATTTAAAATTCTTTATTCTGAGAAGGGGTTCATCAGAATGCCAATGAGTTACATGGAACAAGAGAGTTTTAAAACACTGTCTTAGTGTATCTCAAGGCCCAGGATTCTGCAAAATACTTTGAGAATGCTGCTTTAGCCAGATCCAAGGACTGAGATTAGTGAGTCAAAGAATAAGCAGTATTATAGTTCTTGCTACATATGGCCAGACCTTTTTCCAAAAGTTATACCAAATTTACACTACCATAGATGTGCATGGGTATACTTGTTTTACCACAACCATCCAGTATTGGGTATTTTCATTATCTTTCATTTAAGTATATTTCTTATTAACAATTTATTTATTATTACCTTATGTTTCTCTGGCTTATTAGAATCTTAGCACTAAAAGGCACCTCAGGTAGTTATACAGCCCTAGTTCTTCCCACCTAAAGTTATATGAACGTACTCAACTATACTGTTTTATTTTTTGGCCAGATTCTTAAAGAAGAGGCAAATAATCATAGCCCCAACTCTTCCCAACAGCCACCACCTCTTAAGGTCTCCTTCATTACCTGGAGTATGGTTCTCTTCTTGATGAAGATCAGATGTCTGATGGTGCTTCAGATGAGATCTGTCCTTTCCCAAATCCATCTTGCTGCAATGCCTTCCTGCTACTTGGTCTGACTTCCACAAGCAGCCAAAAGGCTTTTTTAAAATATCGAAAACAACCAACACTTAAAAAAACACACACATATACACACACGCAAGTTTGCCTGTTGCTTGACTTCCCGCCTAAAAGTTTTATCTGGTTGGACCACTACTGCAGGCTAATTCTATTTTCTTTATCACGCTGCACAGGTGTGAGTAGGGGAAATGGCTAGTGCTAGCAACCTCTAGCATAGGTTGCTAATTTATACAGGGAGCACCCCCGGCCACAGCCCGGCAGGGCACAGCCTCCGGTTCAGCAGTCATCTGGGTCTATCTGCCAGGAAATATGTGGATCCAATGTTTCTTTTTTCCAAAGGAGATGTGTAGAAAGAACACTAGTGTAGAAAGAACACTGTGTCTAGGCTCCAACCAGCTCAGTGGCCCAAGGCAAGTCACCTTCCTTTTCTGTGACTCTCTTTCCTCAGTTGCAAAATGGGTAAATAATTCCTGTCTTGCCTATTTCACACAGTTCTTGTGAAAGTGAAAATAATGGATGTGGAAATTAGGAAGTGTGCTATATATATGTGAAATTAATCTTACATTGTTTTCCTGTATGTGGCTTTTTTTTTTCACCTTAATCTGTTGCAAAATAATGTAAAGTCTTTCTGTTTATGCTGTTAGGTAATAGACATTAAGAGTCAAATTAGAAATTCAAAGTAAATTTGCACCCTTTTTGCTCACCTAGTTATTCACAAGTGACAAGAGATACCTAGTGAAATCCATTGTTACTCTTCCAGGGGAAGGTCAAAAGGCATTTCTTAATGAAAATTTCATGACATTATGTCCCAGAAATTAAGCTGAAATCAAAGGAACCGTTCTCTCTCCAATCAGTCACCCCAAGGAGGCACACAGGACCATGGTTCAACTAAGGAAGAAACACTGAGCACCCTGGATACAGGGAGCCAGTCTGGGAGACACAGGATTAACATATGTGTTCTCCAGTCAAGATTGTTGTTTTGTTTTGTTTTTTTCGAGACAGACTTTCACTCTGTTGCCTGGGGTAGAGTGCCGTGGCAACAGCCTAGCTCACAGCAACCTCAAACTCCCAGGCTCAAGCGATCCTCCTGCCTCAGCCTCCCAAGTAGCTGGGACTGCAGGCATGCGCCACCATGCCCAGCTAATTTTTTCTATATATTTTTAGTTATCCGGCTAATTTCTTTCTATTTTTTAGTAGAGACGGGGTCTCGCTCTTGCTCAGAGCTGGTCTCGAACTCCTGACGATCCTCCTGCCTCAGCTTCCCAGAGTGCTAGGATTACAGGTGTGAGCCACCACGCCCAGCCTCTCCAGTCAGATTGAATTGAAGAGTTTGAATTGCAATGTGACCATTCCCTAATTCAGTGACCTTAGGCAAGTTAAATTGCCTTGGAGCCAGTTTACCTCTCTATAACATGGAGACAATCTTGGTATCTACTTCATAAGGAGACTGGGATGATTAAGTCAGATCATCCATATAAGGCCTTTTATATGTGCCTAGCACATTGAACTTGCTTAATAAACGTTAGCTGCTTTTATTAATAATTAAAATGTAGGAACCAGAGTTTTGGTAAACCAAATCATAGTTTACACGCACTAAAGAAACAAAATCTGAAGGGAATCCTTTATAAAAACCGATATAACGTGAATAGGAGCCCCGTACTTCCATGGAGTCTTAAGGCGTTAGAACTGGAAGAGCCCGAAACCATTAGTCCCTCTCCCTATTTTATATACTTATTGCCAGCAGCACCTTTTACAGATTATGAGATGGGTCACCTTTTTTTATGCTTGACTTTGCCTGGGTATGAAAATGTATGTATGGTGTGAACATATGAGAGAAACAGTTTTCAAACACACTGAAAAGTACTGAGACTGATAAAACACCCAAGAACCTGCCACTAAAATTGAACCTGGTTTTTAATTACCAGTTCTTAAAGCTTAGCTTTGTCTTTCTCAGTTCCCCAGTCTTTCTCCTAAGTAAATCTCTACATCTAAAAATTCAGATAACCTCAGGGTTATCAAAGGAATCCTGTATGGAATGGCAGGTATTCTTTATAGTTTATCTCTTGAAACTTTATATTTTCAGATATGGGGTTTAAAGAACTCAAATTAGAGTAAATTTAACAATGATAAAATAATAATGTTTTATAACTTAAACTGGCATTTTAAATATTGGTCCTTTTATTTGGTACGTTTTGATTCTTACTAGTTAGATCATTTCTTACATTATGATAGTTTAATAAAATAACCCTATAGAATCCTTCTGGGACACCTTCAGAGGACGCAGAGGTACTTCTTCAATAGACTTATCCTTACTCAGAGCTTACAACTTCAGTTCAACAATTCAGCAAATGTTACTGACTGCACACTCTGTGCCACATAGAGCAAGGCTGTCGGGCTACAGAGATGGACGGCATAGTCCCTGACATCTGTGTACTGTAGGCTCACGAGGTGAGAGATATATACCTTTATTGTAAGGAAATAATATTTAGATTCTTTATATCCTGTGACAACCTTCCTAAGTTGATTCCGCCTTGCCCCATGTTCTCTGTGTCTAGAAGCAGAGTGTGGAAGGACTTTAAGAGGGCGGATCTCAAGATAACAGTAAATTGAGGGTAATATTGGGTGGAGGGGGCCAGTGGAGACACTTGGAGCAAACTAGATTGGAAGTCAGGCAAGGTGTCTCTGGCGTGATAAACAGGCCAGAGCAGGAATTTTAGACAGAAATAGCCACACAGTAAGTTTACAGGCCATAGTTCATGGCTTTTCTCTGTAGAAAACTCTAGTTACCAGAATGTGAGACTTTAGGCTTTAAGGCCAGCTATTTTTTAACAAATGCTGCCTTGTTCTAGAGTTATTTTCATATATACACAAAACCTCCCTCTAGGCCACAAACTCTTAAAGGGCAGTTATGGCTCCTGGTTCACCTTTCTGTCCCCACAGTGTGATATACCGGGAGGCCTGGCCCACAGGAGTCCCCATAATGGCCATCGCTCCCTGCATGCAGGGCCAGATGCATGGCCATGCAGCCTGGGAAGGGACTTTACACGCTCAGAGGGGTTGATGCTGCTACAACTTAGTGATACCTTCATCTGTGCCAGAGCTCTTTCCACTGTCATTCATTCTGTGTCCAGCCCTGCCCTATGTGCTGGACATACAGTAGTTAAAGGCCAAAGTCCCTGCCTTTAGGAAGCCTACATTTTAATGGGGAGAGATAAACAGTAAGCAACAAAATATATAATGTGTCAGACGGTGATAACTGCTTTGGAGAAAACTGAGCCAGAAATAATAGGATGAGGAGTGAGGGTGAGATTGATGGTGGCTGCTATTATAAATAGTGTGGTCAGGGAAGGCTTGACTGATAGGGTGACAGGTGGGCAGAACCAAAGGAGGTGAGGGGTTAGATGACCCATGCTGGCACGTGGAAGGGCATTCCAGGCAGAGGGGCACCAGCAAATGGCCTGAGGAGGGGGTGTGGCAAGGAGGTGGGTTCAGAGAGGTAGCCTATTGCCCCTTGCAGGATTTCTGCTCTGAGTGAGATGGGTAGTCATGGCATGGTTTTGGACAAAGGAGTGATGCGATCTGACTTATGTGTTTAAGGAGTTAATCTGAAGGCCAGGCGTGGTGGCTAATGCCTGCAATCCTAGCACTTTGGGAGGCTGAGGCGGGAGGATTGCTTGAGCCAAGGAGTTTGAGACCAGCCTGGGCAACATAGCGAGACCCTGTTTCTACAAAAAATTTAAAAAATTAGCTGGGCATGGTGGTGCATGCCTGTAGTCCCAGCTACTTGTGAGGCTGAGGATGAAGGATCCCTTGAGCCCAGGAGTTGGAGGTTGCAGTGAGCTATGATGACGCCACTGCACTCTAGTACCGGCAACAGAGCAAGACCCTGTCTCAAAAAAACAAAAAAAAAGGAGTTATTCTGGCTACCATGTGAGACAGGGGAGGAGGTGGACGCAAAGAGAATAATCAGAAGGATATTGTAACGATCCAGGTGAGAGATGATCAAGGCTTGGATGATGGAGGTGGTGAAGTGGTGGTCAGATTCTGGATTAAATTGTATATGGGGTTGTATATGGGGTGCAAGATGAAGCAAAGATAAAGGTTTGGTATGAGCAACTGGACGGAGGGAGTTGGCATTAACAGATGAGGAAGACCGGGAGGAGCAGGCTTGGAGGAGATGATCAGGGGTTTAGTTCTGGATGTGTTAGCAGACTAGGGATAAAACAGTGAAGGAGCAGCCTGGGAGGCAGAGGAAAACCAGCAAAGTACAGTGTCCTGAAAGCCGGGGGAAAAAAATGTTTCAAGGAGGAGGGACTGATCAACTGTGTCAAATTTTGCTAAAGGCAAAGTAGAGGAAGGGTTGAGAATTGTCCTAACAATTGATTTCCTAACAATTCAAATCAATTAATTATAGACCCTGGGGTCCAGAGAGGTTAAGTGATTTGGCCAAGGGAATATAGGCAAAATCAGATATATAATTTGCTGGGGCCCAGTGCAAAATGAAAAAATTATTAAGAATTATTAAGAATTTCAGGACAACTACAGTAGAAAATTAAACTCAGCACAGGGCCCTACTTTCACAAGTGCTTCACTGGATCCTTGTAGCAGACTTATAAAGTAGATATTATTATTCTCATTTTCCAGATCAAGAAACTGGTGCTCAATGTATTGAGTGACATAACTAAGACCACAAAGCTAGACTGGTAGTTTGAGCCTGGAATCTGGGCCGTCAGCCTCCAAGACACTCTTCCTACTACTACAGCAAAGTAGGTATTAAGGCAGAGAGTGCTTTCCTGCCTCCAGCCATCTGGAGCAGGCCTTGTCCATGCCTTTCAGAGGCCTGATTGAAGCAGGCGAACGTAGGAGGGAAGGGAACACACTGCTAAGAACTTCTGCATTAGGACCTTTTATGATGGAGGTGAAAAGGGAGCACAGGAAAGACAGCTCAGGCCATGCTCCAAAATGC